GGGGTGCAAAGACGAACCGAGAATGGATTGAAACCTGGTCCACAAATGGGAACTCAATCCTCGATGTATCGATTTGGCGCCTGCCTATGGAGCCCTGCAGTCACCCCCACACATGCGGCTCTGATAATTGGTTGGCATGCAGCCCATAGTAATTGTCGCCCATTGTGTTGTTGCTGTCATCTCGGACGCTGAACGCCTTTACGAGTTTGAAGACTCAGAACCATTAAAAACTCTTCCGTCCTCGACCAGTCTTCTCCCTTACTTATAAAAAAAACTGGATCGTAGCCCCCACCATTATACAGTCCTTCGGACCAACTGGAATAAGGGTTGTTTTAGACCGCGTAATTTCTTCACCGTCGTATCGCTTGAAATTCGTACAAATTAATTGTCTCCTTTCGATATCTCTATACTCAAACGCAGTACAGGATCGGCTTCATTTTTTATTTTTTTCTCTCACGCCACCAAACGGTAATGAGTGTCAGCGCAATGCCTGGTGTGAAAGACTCTATCTGCGTGTGTTACACACTTACAATTAACCAAGTAAGGATTCACGCAAAATGACCACAGTTTGGCCAAGATAAACCGACATTTCGACCGTCGATGATCACCTCGCGCGGCCCATAGCAGGTTGGGCGCAGGGATGGTAACTTGCGCGAAAATGAGCTCGTTGTGGTAGCAGACTTGCACTGTATCTATCAAACTTTCTCATCCACATGAGCCCTGTCAAGAAGACCAGAAGTGCGATCGGCCGCAGGCCGCTGGGACGGCGCGATAGTGCGCCTAGCCGCGCCATCACACCCTCTCTGTTTGGTATTTGTTTAGGCGTTCTCATTCCCACTTATGTCTGCCGTCCCAGATCATTACCAAGATATGTCACGAGCTTACGATGGCTCCCTGTGACTCCGAGAAACAAGTACTGTTCTTACGGGGTTTTGGGTGGACGGGGAGGGTTATGTGTGAAGAGCACAAAATAGCTACGACGCAGTCCAAACCGGATGAGTGTAGTCGTTATTGCTTTGTTCATGTCAATGATCTATTCGACGCGTTTGCGACCTACAATGTGAAGTCTAGTTTTGCTAGGGAACCTACTGAAAAAAAAACTGCTTCAGCCCGTTCTCCGATTGGGACACGTTGTCCGACATCTTGCCCACCTGTTACTTCCCACAGTTTGGTGTACATTTTTCTTATTTGATTTCTTCTCCGTGGCGCCCAACGAGGTGGTACATTTCTCTCATGTGGTAATATCCGTTCCTTTCTATCTCGCGTGATTGGCCTTCAAAAATCACTGCCTTGTTGGAACATAACCACACCCTTACGACTGCAAGCGAAGCTATTTTGTTCGGCTCAGCGTTGTTTCGTCACAGTGACGTCATTGAGGTGTGTGTGGTTTTGTTACTGCCTTCTTCAACACAGAACAAGCTGTTAATAATTGTTTTTTTTCATCCCGAAACGCCTGGGCTGCTTAATCCCTACAGTTAGACAATTGTGATCATGCTCTTGTCTGTACGTTTACCTTGCAGTTGGTGGACGTTTGTCTTAACTTAAGATGACCAGTGACCTCATCGGCTTCATGAATCGTACCAGTTAATATTCTCTATTACGCTGCAATTGGGGTTGGGTTTTTTTGTTATGCAGACGGCGGTCAGAGGCCCTTAACTATAGCCTTTTACTGTCCTCAGAAATTAATCTTTAGTTCGGCGTAGGTCGTATATCTAGGGGTCTCTAGGCGCAAACCGAAATTTGCTGTGAATACTTGGGCTGAAGTCCATCGACCACTGTGGGCTAACCGTCTTTTGGCAGCTTGTGAATATTATCTGGCTATCCCGTAGTGGCCGATGGACTTCAGCCCAAATATTCACAAAACATTTGGGTCTGCGCTCAGAGACCGCTAGGTATAGTATCTACGCCAAATCAAAGATTACTTTCTGAGGAACTTAAAGAGCTACAATTTCAATACTGGAGTACCTATCGGCAAATGATGGTTCCCTGAGAATGTGAATCCCATTAAAACTCCTTCTAAAAGAATAACATATTTAAAATCATATCCAACTAATAGCTTCTTAAAAAATGTCGGTGCGTGTTTCGTCGCCTTCTGTGTCAATCGAGTAGATTTTCTGTTATCCAGTCAGTTCCTGGTCTGATAAAATAATAATCGAAATTCTGAAATTCTTTTTTTCGATTCGAAGTTTATTGAGTAGATTTATAATATTGATCATCGTGCGGCACAATTCCGTGATATCGATGTTAAAATCGATTGCAAGAGCGGAACTTCGTAAAATTCTGGTATTTTTTTACCTTGCTATCTAATCCCGTGCTATGAATGTTCAAAAGAGATTGAAAGAGGCTTACTTAGTAGGCTTCTAGTATTGATTATATAAATGTTTAAAATCGATTGGAAGAGGTACACTAAGTAGGCTTGTAATATTGATTATCTTGCGGCATGATACCGTGATATGAAGGTTTAAAATCAATCAGGCATTTACTAAGTAGACTTATAGTATTTATTATCGTGCGGCATAATCCCGTGATATGAATGTTTAGAATCGATTAGATCTTTACTAAGTAAACTTGTAATATTGATTATCTTGCGACATGATTTAAATCAACAAGAACCTAGAAAAGCAATTTTTTAGATTAAAGATGAAGAATTGAGCGTCAGTGGCTCTGGTGAAAAGGAAAGTGATATTGAAAGTGAAGTGTTCTAAAATTTTATGCATACGTTCAC